TCTGCCATTGTGAAGTACTGCTGTAAAGGTGCACCTTGTGTGTGAACGTCGACATTAGCGACCTAGGTTACAATCTCCCTTATGTTTGAATGGGAATGAACAGTCGCGTGGGTAGCGCTAGTTACTGTGGGAAAAACTGACGTTACTGATTCAAATCAGTAATGTGAAATTTAGTGAGTCTGAAACAGCATCTTAGTAAGTCAATCAGCTTGGAAGTGTCTTGAAAGAATATTTCCAAACCTATCAATTCTACTCTCCAATAAAAGTGACTGTCCATTGTTCAGAGATACTGTACACACACACACTATTTCTTTGTGGTCGAATAAAGGTTGTTTCATTGTGTGTTACAAATTGTATCCAGTATTTATTTCTTAGCATATGTTCAGTTTATTTTGGCAGAACTCAGTAATACTTTGCAATATATCTTGCTGAACTTCCCGTTATATAGCAGACCTACCTGATTTATTCTTTACAGAAATATGTTTTACCTGAAAATGCAACACCTCAACATGGAACATTTTGAAGTTAACACCATGAAAACAAACTTTATACAACCCCGAGATCTGGCGCACATAAGTTGATAATAAGTTGGTAAATAACAATTCATAAGCATAATTAAGTGATTTATTTTTGAGGAAACATGTATTATGTTTCCCCCAAATATAAATCATTTAATTATGCTTGTAAATCGTTGTTTTCTAGCTTATTATTATATCAGCATAATGTGCTTCCATATTCAGATATGTTGACGATATGTTCATAATATGATCACATAGAATGGGCAACATTCAGTAATCCATGAACCACTAGAATAGGCAGCATTCCGCGATACAATTCACAATGGAAATAGAAAAAGATAGCAATCTCCCATTCATTGACGTGATGGTTACCAAAACATACGACTCATACGCCAAAGGAGTTTACATGAAACCCACAGATACGGGTAAATACATAAATTACCTAAACACTGTGAAGAGAAGCCTAATAAACTGCTTAGTTTCAAGAATGGACAAGAATTGCAATAGAGAAAAAGATGAAAGAAAAACACATCACTACAACTTTCCTTAACAATCGATGACTGGAATATTTAATAAAGGAGAAAAAGAATTAGAATAAAGAGGAAGAAAATTACAGGCACACAATTATACTTCTCTATATCAAATCTAAATAGCATAAAGTCAGAACAGTATCCAGAAGTCACAACACAATACGATCATAGTTAGTACACAGAAAACCACCTAAAGAAAAACACAATCGAGTGGAGAACGCACTTGACTTCCAACAAGAAGATCCAGGATCGAATGTTGACTACTACAAGCACCTAAAATAGACCCTCTCAGGATTTTAGGCATTCCCTGAAGACGACAGAAGATTAAGAGGATAAAAACTAGTTAGTAATTAATATATAATTGTTAAAAAATACTAATTAATAATCATAATCAGGTGATTGTACAGGCCACTAACCATAACAATGATTGTTTGTTTGTTTTTGAATTTTGCGCAAAGCTGCACGAGGGCTATCT